AATGGGATCCAAAAACAAAATAGTTATTGTAAGAGTAATAGGGGAGGAAACACCTGGGAGGAAATGTTGGTAACTACTGTTAATTTCTTATTGTCTTGTCTTGAACTCTTATATTGTTTTCACAATTTTGTTAGGTTTGGCTTTGTTCTGTCTTGTTTTGTTAGATTTTACTCTTTCTGATGATAGAGGTAGCTATTTTGAATAGAATGGGATATAGTATGGTAATCTTGGTTTCCTATTATATTGCCTGAAGTCTTATAACACTTTGATTCATTTGTTTAATTGGTTTTATTGTTTTGTTTGATTTTATTATGTGTGATAGTGTGAACAGCTACTTTGAAGAAAATGAGACATTATAGTAGCCATTGCTGATTTTCTATCATCTTGCTTTGAAGTCCTATCATGCTTTTGTTCTTCTGTTTTGTTTGGTTCTATCCTGTTATGTTTTATTTGATTTTATTATGTGTGATGGCATGGACAATTTTTTTGAGGAAAATGAGATATTATAGTAGCCCTTGTTAATTTCCTGTTATCTGGTTTTGAAGTCCTGTAATACTTTCATTCTTTTGAATGGTTGTATACTGCTTTGCTATGTTTGCTATTATTGTGTGGGACGGTATGGTCAACTATTTTGAAGAAAACAAGAAAAATTATGGTAGCCACTATTGATGCCTTCTTGTCTTGTTGTGAAGTACTGTGTTGCTTACACTGTTTTGTTCTGACTTGCTTTGTTCTGCTTTGTTTTATTTTCTTTTGTTTTATTATCTTTAAAATAAAAAAATTAAAAAACAAAACCAATGCTCCATACTGATATAAAATCAAGAAAACTTATGTTGCATAATAAAGTAATAATAAAAATATATTTACATATATAAATACACAAATACAATAATGTGTTTTAACAATAAGGAGGAAATACTCATGACAATTACAGCATTCTCTTTGTAACTGATCTCATGATCATAGAAGTTTTTTATTACTGCCTTATTCTACTATATTTTTTCCCAGAAGAAAAATTTTTCTAAGTATTCAAGTGAAATAAATCAGATACAGAAACTTAAATATTGTATGATTTCTCTTATATGAGAAACCAAAATATAAATAAAGAGAAAAATAAAAGATAGTTAAGAGGAGTCAGATAGATATTTGGCAAAAGGAAAGGAGACCAAGAAACAGAGGGAAGCAGGAGAAAGGGGAGGAGGTGGAAAAAGAATTGAGGTGTGCTATGTCCATGTAACAACTCCCCACTGCAAATATGTACTAATAAACATAAAAGTAGAATAATAAAAGTCACACTGAGTTCCAGTACCCTGAGCTAACAGCAAGATGGAGAGGACCTAATTATAGAAACCCTCCTTCCTCCACCCTGATACTTCCCTTGTTTGGGGTTCTCCAAAGACAGAAGGAAGAGGCCTTGAAGCTGGGTGTGTCCACTGCCAAGGGTCAGTGGTCAGGAAGTGAGGTTTGGGGTGGAGGTGTCCCCTGAGGCCCCCAGGGTGGAGCCATGGTGATTTTAAACATGACCCAGGTTGAAAGCTGATGGTACTATAGCCTCCTGAGATCCTCCTTGGGTAGAGAATGGGGTCTTTGGTCAGGGGATGAAAGGTGACCCAGCAGTCAGCTATAAGACATTGCTATACTTGACATCTTCAGAGAAATATTGGGGTTTGCGGGGCTGAATTCAGAGAGGGTCTGTGTTAGAGGGGACAGTTTGTGGTTGGGGCGGGGAGGGGGCTGCAGGAGCTGAACCCAGCTTGCAGATGTTTTTTCCTCAAACTGGGTCAGCCCCTGGACACTTACTGGGCAATAAGTGAGGTCATGGCCTCTTTTCCTGGAAGAACCTTCTGGACATCAGTTCAGGCCACTGCTGCCCAGCCCCCAACAGGAGGTCAGGGACAGGAGAGCTGGCTACGAGGAAAGGTGACTGATGAGTGCAGTCGAGAAGCATTAGGAGGGCATGTGTGAGGGCCGAAAGCCAGAGGGCCACTGTGGAGCCAGGAGTCTCCCTCAGGACTTGGCTGGGTCATGATCAGTGTTCTGTTTCAGCGCACTCCGACCAGAGGTCTGGGGGGCCAAGCATGGCTGGCTTAGTGTGTGAACTACTGTGCTTCCCTGTTCACTTCTTTCCGACTCCCATCTTCACCCACTGCCCACTTAGTTGTAGCAAACAGCAACACATCACAAGCTGCTTCTTCCCTGCCGTGTTCCTCTGCCATGTGACCCCGCCTTGGAGCCAACTGACCATGTACTGAAATCTCTACAGACAGGGAACAAAATACAGTTAACTTTTGGGTGCTGGGTGTTTTAGCCCAGCAACAAGAGAAGTAATAAAGGCATAGTTGAATCATTTCCCCCCATCACTTCTGTGTCTCATCCTTTTCCTTAGTTTCACATTTGAGTGAAGATTAATGTGTGTAATGTATTTTGAATCTCTTTATGCCCCTATTATCTGCCCTTATATACCTCTTTTCTTCTCTCCTCCTTTTCTTATCTAATAATAATCTTCTTTCTATTTTTTTGTCAATTTTTTAAGCAACACAATATTTCTGACTCTGGTTTATTTTGCTAGATTGGTGGTTTCCAGATTCATTTATTTTTCTTCAAATGACAAATATTCATTCTTTATAAGGCTGAATGACACTTCCATGTGCATCATACACCTCAATTTATTCACTCATCTGCTGATGATAATATGGAATACTTTCATATTTTGGCTCTTGTATATTGTGCCTCAATACAAATGGGCATACCATATCCATATGGTATGCCAACTTTAATTCCTGGAGGTATATACCAAGGAGAACTATAGCTATATCAAATATCAGTTCAGTCTTAGTTTTTGGAGGGAACTCTATACTGATTTCCACAGTAACAGTAATAAAGTATATTCTCACCAACAACCTAGAAGAGTTCCATCTGCTCTACATCCTTGCCTTCATTTCTTGCACTTTGTTTTCTTGATGATAACCATTCTGACTAGGGTAGAATGGAGTCTCAATGTAGCTTCAATTTGCATGACCCCGAGGCCTACAGACATTGAGCAATTTTTCACATACTTATTTCACATACTTCTTTTCAGAAGTGTTTGCTTGATTCTTTGGCCAATTTATTAATTGCACTATTTGATTTTTTTGGTGTGAAGTTTTTTAGTGCTTTATACACTTTAGATCTTAGTCCTCTGTCAATAGAGTAGCTGGCAAAGATTTTTTTCTTTCTGTAGACTGTCTCTTTCTTCTGATAGGTTTCCCTGTTCAGTAGAAACATTTTTACCATGGCATAGTCCCATTTGTTGATTCTTGCTGTTACTTCCTGTGACATTATTTGGTCAATACGATTTCAGTAATTTCCCCTATGAAGTCATTGCAACTCCCATAAAAATACCAATGACATTCTTTGAAGAGCGAGGGGAAAAATAGTTTTAAAATTCACATGGAAACACAAAAGACCCAAGATAGCCAAGGCAATCCTTACCAAGGCCGGAGGCATCACAATACCCAATTTCAAATTTTACAACAAAGCCATGGAAACAAAAGCCACACGATACTGGCAGGAAATACACATAAAGGCCAGGTGCCCATTGATGAGAAAGGGATGATGATTTTTGTGAAAGTTGTAGCTGGAAGAGTATTTTGTGATTGTTCCTCTCAGACCATGTTGCTTAGGAACACTGCAGGCTAATTGGCATCAATGATTTCCTTTTGATTCTGATGATATACATAGTCTATTAGTTTCCTGCTGCATATGTAATAAATTATCATAAATTTAGTGACTTACACAATGTCAATTTATTATCTTGTAGTTCTGGAGGTCAGATGTCTTTCAGAGTTTAAATCAAGATATCAACAAAGCAGTACATAGTTTTCTTTCTGGAACATCTGAGGATGGAGTTCATCTTTTGCTTTTCCAGTTTCTGTGGTTCTCTACTTGGCTTGACTCAGTTCTCTCCTTGAAGGCTGAAAATGGTGGCCCTCAACCTCTGCTTCATAACATCTCTGACTCTCCTGCCACCCGCTTTCTTTACAAGAGCCTTTGGGATTGCATGTGGACCAGCTGGGTAACCCAGGAAATGATCTCATCTTAAGGTACTTATCTTAATCACATCTGCTAAGTCCCTTTGCTCCCTGGGAAGGAGCACATTGGCAGGTTCCAGAAATTAGCTCCTCATGTATTGAACATAACAGTGTGACCTGAGACAACAATGGGGCTGTCAGTTTGAGACTGTCACATAGGTCCTGTGAAATGGAGTACTCTCCATGCTCCTATGTCTTCAAGTCTAAGCTTCCAGAACATCTTCAAGAGGCTTTAGCAAATGTTTAAATTTCTTTATTGATGTTTCAGGATGTTTTACTGATGTCTCTGCTTGTTGGCACGGCTGCACAGACTGACAAACCCACACCCTTCCTCTCTTCAGTTTCACACTGTCTTTCCATGATGGTTTGGATTTTAACAATGCAGCATGAAAAAAAAAAACTCACTAATAAAGTAGCAGAAGTTGAGTTTCAGAGGATTTTCCATGGTCAGTTGGGGAAAAGGACATTCGGGGGAGCAAACTTTCCTTCTAGTTCCCAAATCACAGCCGTGGGAAAGTCATCTATTCCAGGAGTGAGAGGGATGTTCTGGTGGCCAGCAAGCCAGCATGTAGTTGTGATTGTTACTTAAATATTATTATAGTCTTACTCTTCATATTCCATAGTGATTATTTCTAAATTTGAAAGTTTAGAATGGCTCGTGGAAAGCACAGCACCTTATTCTATGCTTCTTCAAACCCACTGTTTAAGAAAAACATAGAAGAAATACTTCTTCTTTCGAATAAATTGAAATATAATATACTTTACCTTGTAACTCTTAGCTTTTTTATTGTAAAGTGAAACTCTCATGCATGGATGAGCATTACTTCAAAGGAAGAAAAGATAAGATGCAAAATAGAGTCACTGAAAAGTAAAATTTTATTTAGAAATTCTTGTAAGGATAATCTTGCTTTGTGAACACAAAATGGGCACATCGTATGTGGCAAAAATATTCTTATGTTCTACACAGAGTTCCTCTTAATCATAAGCTTTAATCTGAACTCATGATGTTGAATTATATAGAATTTGATATACATCAATGTTTAAAGAAATGTATCTACTGTAACTTGCTTGTAAGCATTTTATATAGTAATTATAATTGTATTAAGTAATATTGACATATATTTCTGAATAAATGCTGGCTTTGTAGTAATTTAGGATGAGTTGAAGTGCATACTTCCCCCTTTCAATGTTCACTTATTCTTTTCCTTTACCATGATGAATACATCTAAAGTATGCTAAGTAAACAGCCAGAAATGCCAGGCCAAATGGTGCCACCTTCATCCAAGACAGCCATGAAGACGAATGACTATCCTCACTTGTAACACGAGTCTTCAGGGGCTTGAGAATCCTCTCTCTCTGGGTCAAGATGGCTCTCCTGGCTCCATCCCATTTCCCTGGCCCCTGCAGGCGGTACTGGTATGGGGTGCAGGGGCCAAAGAAAACCTCAAAGGCCAGTTTTGGATCAGAGAGAAGGAGAAACAGCAAGTTGGGCTTCACCCCCACCAGGGTGGCGATCTCATCCATGTATTCAATGTGATCCACTTGAATTGTGTGGCGGGCTGTCTTCACATACCTGAAACGCAGAAGAGAAGGTGGAACACTCGCAGCAGTGGAGGGACGACAAAGATTTATACCACCCTTGAACTAGAAGAGTGTTAACTACTACCAGCTTTAGAGATGGTGAAACTGAGAAGTAGAAAGCAGACTAACAAATCCAACACCACTCAGAGTAACCAACACCAATGCCAGTGTAGACACTTCATACAGTTCCTTTATTTCAGATTGTACTGGGATGACTGAACTGCTGTTTGGGGTGCTCAGTGATCCCTACTCTGTCAGATGCTTTTCTACAAGGAAGAGTGCTCCTTTTTACAAGGAAGGGTGCTCTTTTTATAAGGTGCTCCTTTTTACAAGGAAAAGATTTATGAGGAAGTTAAATACTTCCTCAAGCATTGTGTAGATAAGATGGAAAATTTAGCCTTTAGACTTCCTACATGTTTGAAATCAACCAGGGGATGGAATATCATGGCTAAATTAGCCCCAGAAACATGATGGCTTCAGGGAGGTAAGGGTTTGGGCAACTGTGGTCTCCTCCTTGACAAAGCAAAATGACTGTGTAGTCCTGATGGGGTGGCAGCTACTGAGTAGACTCCCTTGCTCTGATGCTTCATCCATGATCTTTCAGAATGTGATTCATGTCCAGAGACTGCAGGACCCAAGTGTCCCATTCATAATACAGATATGGTGGAGATGGTCTGCATTATGACAGTTTTACTTTCAACGTTTGGAGATAAGTTGTTTTGAGGAAACAGTACTATTTTCCAATTTACACAAATGTATTTTATGGGATGGTAGCAGCTCTGTGTCTCTGGCTACACAGCACAAGGAAAGGGCAACATGTACTCTTGAAAATGCATACAATGTCCTCTTGAAAATGTACTGGAATGGGTGCCACTGCTGTAAGAACTGACCATGTGTCCCCCGTGGTGCAAACACAGAGTTTGTGGACCTCAGGTCTGGAAACAGCGACTATGTTCAGATGCTGTTCTGTAAGGAGGAATGATAGTGCCAGCTTTGTCCAGTATATGGCTCTCCATCTGCCTTGTGCAGAATCAGGCTAAAAATGCTCAGCTGTGTGCTTTCATAGTAGGCACAAAATAAGTTCTAACAAATGAATTAGAAATCTGTAAGTTTTTCTTTCAAATATTGAATAGTATTTGAATGCTTTGTCAAACTATGCTTTTGCAGTGTTTGCAAAGTTGATTGTAAAATGTGCCATTATGTTCTTCACAGGTGTAATCTGCTCAGACCTAGAAGAGAAAATTCAGAGGGCATCAGGATAATTTCTTAGAAGCTCAAGGAAGAAATAAATTTTATTCTTTTATATGGACACATGCAGAGTACAGTCTTTAGAATTCTGAAATAGTATGGCAAAGAAATTTATTAAACTACTCAATGAATCTATTTTCTGTGTATATTTCTTTACTCTTGAGCCTGCAAAGTAGCCTAGTCATGTGTGTTTCAGAGTCAGTTTTTGTAACATAACCAGAGAAATGCCTTATTTTCAAGGTACCTCCCTTTTTAGCTTTTGTTTCACTAATTTGTTGTCTCATGGATGAGAAAAAAAATACATGTCTTTTAAGGCAACAACATGGGAGGAGAAATTTCATACAACATATGAAATAGAAGTCCTGGCGAAGAGTCTAGGAACTCATGAAAAGATGTCAGAGGGAACCTAGTTGGTTTCTTGGAGAAGCTGAACCTCAAGCTCATCTCAAGCAGAGCCCCACCTTGGCAAAGCTTCCTGCACACTACTCAAAATAGACTAAGGGCATGAGAGCTACTAATTCTATTAGTTCTTAGAAAAGAGCAGTTAGTCTCATATGATTAGATCATTTTTGCATGTCTATATCTGGTAATCTAAGCAACCCTTTTGAAGATAACAATATGCAATATAACAACCATTGTTAAATTCCTATCATTTATTTTGAAAGGCTATATAGTTATTGTTTTGGGTTCGTTGTGTTGTTCATTTGTCTCTTTTGCTTTTGTTTTTCTTTTGTGTGTCTTTTTCCTCTTAAATAAAAAAAAAACAGACTAAGGTTTGAGCAACCCAATCTCTCTGTTTTGTAAGTATGCTTAGATGTAGGCCTTGAGATAGGTAGTATGAGATCAAGTATGAGATAGCCCACCAGTAAGAGGGCTAGGGACTTAGCTCAGTGGCATAAGTGCCTGCCTGGTAAGTGCAAAATTGTGAGTTTGATCCCTGGTATCAAAAGACACACACACACACACACACACACACACACAGACAGAGACAGAGACAGAAACAGAGACAGAGACAGAGACAGAGAGTGACAGAGAGAGACAGAGACAGAGACAGAGAGAGAGAGAGAGAGAGAGACAGAGACAGAGACAGAGACAAAGAGAGAGCACATCAGTAAGGAAAATGATGTGATTAGCTTTCTAGATTCAGGTAAAATTCTAGGGGAGACAGCTAAGATAGAAATAGATGGATAATTTAAGATATACTAGGAGGCAAAGAGAATAAATATATGGTTATTTGCTGGAGAACTGAGTTAGGAGAATAAAATTCACATTTGCTTTGTGCTATATTAAAAAATAGTGCAGGAAATAGAAAATATATGATGAAGTGAGACAAAGTTTGAATTTGGAGCCCCAGATTGGGAATACTATGATATTTCCCCATGAAGATCCTCAAGGTAGCTGTAATTAATTCTTTGGGTACCGTTTCGCCATAGCCCCTCTTCTCTGGGTGATATCAGCCATCATGTTCTTCATTGAGGGTAACGTTCTCAGACCTAGAAGACAAAACCCAGAGTTGACAGAATTCTTTGGAAAGAGAGGAGCACATTTTGATAGAAGGAAGAAACAAGCATCATAATAAACAAAAATCAGCTGTGGGTGAACTGTTTGGCCTTTTTTGCAGCTTGGCTCCACACACCCTTGAACACTTGGACAGCCCAGCGAGACTGAAGCTCTGCGATGGGCAGAATGATGCCCAGGGGTTGGATGAGCCCGATGACTGCGAGTGTTGGCTTCTCCAAGGTGGGAGGGAACACCAGCTTGTATAGGGACACTTCATTGTTGGTGACTTCAATGAGCCCATTGAGGAAAGGAAATGAAAAGCTATATCCTGTAGCAAAGATGACAACATCGATATTCTCTTCCACAGTTTCATCATCAAAAATAGCATCTGTTTCTGTGAACTCCTTCACATTGGATTTCACTTGGACTTTTCCAGAAATGATGTGGTTTGGCAGGTCATCGCTGACAGTTGGGTGCTGACTCAGAGGTCTGTATATAAAAGATACAAGTTCTAAGAAAGCAAATATGCAAAAAGCAAGCCAGGAATTTTCCTTTCCCTGTAAATCTGTGCTGACTCAGTGTCTGTCTCTGAAAGCAGACAATACTTTGTGGTCTGAATCTTTAGGGCCTCCCACAGTGTTACATTTTTTTTCAAGTCTCATATTTTCTACTCTGATCTTTATGAATGCCTTCTTTAAATTAGGTTTGAGTTGGGCCTATTGTTGTTTTTCTAGAAGCTTAAGGTGCATACATTATAACCTTGTTATCTGAGCTCAATCTGTTCTAATGTAAGCATTCACAGCAATAAACTTCCCTCTGAAGGCTGCTTCTGTTGTGTCCCATAGGTTCTGTTATGTTGTATTGACATTATCATTTGATTCTAGGAAATGTTTAATCTCTGCCCTGAATTCTTCTGTGACCTGCTGAGTGTTCATGAGTGTATTAGTTAATGAGATACAGTACAAACCAAAGATTAATATCTAAAATATATAAAGAACTAAAAAGAGCAGATCCCTGCGAAAAATACCTAGTCAAAAATGGGCAATTGAAATGAATAGGCACTTAATGGAGGAATTACAAATGGCTAATAAATGCATGAAAAAAATATTCAGTACATCTGGCCATCAAAGAAATGAAAATTAAAGCAGTCTATCTCACTCCAGATAGAATGGTCATCATCAAAAATCAAATAACAAACACTGGTGGGTTGAGGGGAAAAGAACTTCATCTACATTGTTGATGGGAATATAAACTGGTATAAACACTATGGAAATCAATATGATGATTCCTTGAAAATCCTAACATAGAAATTCCATTTGACCCTGATATTCACCTTCTAGGTACCGTCCCAAAGAAGTTAAAGGCATCTTATTAAATATAGGTGTATGATACATACATATCATGTTTCTAGCAGCACAATTCATAATACTAAATCTGGGTATTGCCCTATATGTTCATGAACAGATAAAAGGATAAAGAAAATGTGGTGTTTATATGCATAGAATACTACTCTGCTATAAAGAATGATATATTTGCATCTCTTGCAGGAAAATATATGCACTTTGAGACCATAATGTTAATTAAAATATATCAAACACATAAGCTTAAATATGACATAGTTTCTCTTACATGAAAAACTTAGCATATAAATAAAAGGAAAAATTTAAATATAAACAGTAGAACTGAGGGATACATATACACACTGCAAATGGGAACACGACCAAGAGATGGAGGGAGAGAGGGAAAGAGAGGGTAGGAAAAAGTAATAAAAAAGAATTGTTATGTGCATGTACCAACTCTCCACAAGGAATATAATCATTATGTCCTGCAAACATATATCCCCTTTTTCTGGATAGCAGATCTAGTGTGGTGAAAATGGACATATTGCCAAAAATTATACACAGATTTAATGCAATTTCAGTCAAAATATTAACAGCGTTTTTCACAGATCTAGAAAAACAATTCTAAAATTTATACAGAACCTTATGAGACACAGAATAGTCAAAGCAGTCCTCAGCAATAAGAGCAAAGCAGGAGGCACCACAATCCTAGACTTCAAGTCACACCATAAAGTTACAGTAATAAAAATAGAATAAAACTGGTACACAAATACATTTGTTAATCTATGGACTAGAATATAAGATGCAGAAACAAATCCAGGAACCTTCATCCACCTGACTTCTCACAGAGGGACTGATAACATATACCAGGGAAAAGTTATCCTCTATAAAAAATTGTGCTGGAAAAACCAGTTATTTTTCTTCAGAACAAAGAATTTAGATTCACTTCTCTCTCTATGTACTAAAATCAAATAAAAACAGATAAAACATGCAACACCTAATTAGAAACACCTAATCTTCTAGAAAAAACGATAGATAAAATTGTAGAAGACAGAAGGAAAAGCAAGTACTTCTTGAACAAAATACCAGTTGCACAAGAAATAACACCCAGAAAAGATAAATGGTATCATATCAAATTAGAAGTCTTACACAAAGCAAAGGCAACAAGTACCAGAGTGAGGAGACAGCCTACAGAATGAGGGAAACATTTTTCCAACTAATCATGAAGCAGTGGGGTAAGGTCTAGAATATTTAAAGAACACAAAAAATTAACCCCTAAAATAAAAGACCAAATCTATAAATCATCAATTCATCTGATTTGAATGGAAATGAACTGAAATGGATGAAGACTTTTTAGAAGAACCTCAAATGGTCAGTAAGTATGGGGGAAAAAAACTTGAGCATCTTTTGCTATAGGAAAAATGCAAATCAAAACAACACTGGGATTCCGTCTTACTCCTGAATAGCTACCATCACAAATTCAACAAACTAAATTCAAAAAACTAAAAATAGAAATCCCACTTGACCCAACTATGCTTTTTGGGGGTATCTTTTTCAGAGTTAAGGCCATCGTGTTACATATAAGCATACTCACATACACACAACTGCACAAGTCACAAAGGTGGATCGTATGACCATCAACAGGTGAATTATAAAAAAATAAATTATGATAAATATACACAATGGAGTATCATTTACCCACCAATAAAGATGAGTTTGAGTCATTTGTAGAAAAATAGAAACTTAAAGTCATAATTCTAAGTGAAACAAATCATACATAGGTTTAAATACTTCCTAGTTTCTCTAATATAGTCAACCTCAAAATACAAACAATTTAAAGAGCAAAATAAAAGAGAAATCACAGGTAACAGGGAATTGAACCTGTGGGTCTGAGGAAAAAGAGAGAGGGGAGGATAGGGCAGGAAAGAAAAAATGATCAACATGTGGTATTAAATTTCCACAAGCACTGCCAAGTATTATGTATCACAAACATATACTAATAAAAATATTAACTTTCAAAAGAGAAATATTCTTAAAAATCGTGTAAGTAACATTGGAGACTAATTATAAGGGAGACTAATTATAAGGAAGATAGTGTCTCCATTTAGGCTAAAACTTGGAAATTATAAGAGAAAAATGAAAATATATGAATTTTGAAAAGGTACAGTTTTTCCATATTAAGATTACACACAAGCCAACTCAGCGGGAAAGTATGATAAGAATAATGTTAACAAACATGACTTTAAAAGTGGGTTGATTTCTTCAATATTTAAAGAATTCTAGAAAACACAAAATCACAAGCTAGAACCCAGTCCAGGCAATTTAGTGACTTAGCAAGACCTTGCCTCCAAATTTAAAAAAAAGGGGGGCTGGCGAGGTAGCCAGTACAAAAGCCTTGTACCAGAAAACAAAACCAAAATCCAACACAAGATGTTATTAACTCAAGGGGATCTCTGACCCTCTGTTTTGAAAATTCCACCAGAGATATTAGTCTTCCACAGTTTAGCTCAAGTCATGATACTTACTTGCTTTCATTTCTTCTCTTATCCTTCTACAGTTTGTTGCAATGTAGCAATGTTTATTACAGTTTCTCTCATACTGTATCCCTTCTGTTTAAGATTACTTTACTGAGCATTCAGATTACACATCCACAGACGGGACCGACCTATTCTCTCTCTTTTTCTTCCTTGCTTTTTTTTACATTCTTGCTTTATATAGATTTAAATACCTTTATATAAATTTAAATATAGAAATTGACCACCTTTCTGCTTTTCTTATTCCCTGCTGATGTACCTTTCTGACTTACTTGAGAACACACACTGAAATAACTTTCTCTCCTTATTTCAAATGAGCCATTTTATCAGGATTGAGGACTTAAGATTTTCAGGTTGAAGGCATTTTATCTGAGAATCTGTAAACTCTATTGCACTGTGTTATGTGTTATAATATGCCAGATACAAAGTTAGATGAGTGTGTGATCACTATTTCTTTGTTCTTTCTGAGTAGAAGCATATTCATGGGCTTTGCCTTTGGTAGTTTGGTTGGCTGAAGCCCAGGCTTGAGTCAGGATAAAATGTCCCATGATGGGACTGGTTGTAATTTCAAGAAAGAAGTATTAAACCCAGGAACAAAATGTTTACTAGGGAAAATTACTATTCTGGTGGTGGTCAGTAAGACAAGGAATGTTCTACCTAAGCTATGTAGGTATGTCCTTAGTGAAGACAGGCTATGGAGATTACAGGAGGGTTTAAGGAATTTGGTTTATGACTGGAATCAGTTTCTTTCAGTGCTTTTGATAACAAGATAGACCTCTTTATAAAAACCCTGTGAATGCTCAAGACTACAGTAAGATTTCAACGGACAAATAAGAAAATATAAAATTACCAGTATTTCTGAGTTAGGACAAAGAAAAAATGTGCAGGAAACTGCAGGATCCTACACGAAGGTGTGCATATGGAAGTGTGTCTATTTGTAAGCCTGTTTTGAATTACTCATCCTGGAACTCAGGAGGCCTTTTCTAATAAGAAATTTTTCTAATATTTATTTAAATCTTGTGTCATCTCTGCCTTTTCCAATTTCTCTTCATCTTGTATCTGTCATTTTTTCTCCCATCTACCTACTGTTTTCTTTAACTTGGAAATGGCATTTTTTCAGTTCCAAAGAATATTTTATGTGCCTCTTGAATCATCTTAAGATCTCTTTGTGTTTTTATGCCACTGACTTCTCTGTCTGACTCCTCTTCCTAGGATGTGTTCTTGTTTTATGGCTCTCTATGCATGTTGGATCATTTATAAAGAAGGGTACTTTACTCTGACAGCCCATGAGGCTGAGTCTGGTTAACCGGTTCCTCCTCATAGTGGGGTTGCTGTCTGTAGGATACCAGGTGATGTAGACCAGCCTTACAGGGTGAGATGCAGCCAGAAAACAGCCATTCTCTTCTGAGGTACCTGGAAATATCTTTCTGTCCCCTCCTCTCTAGGCCTCCTGTGACCTCAGATGACTTGATCTTGTTCACTTCTCAATCTCTTTTTTTTTTCTTGTCTTTTTCCTTTTTATCAGTACTAGGAATAGAACTCACGACTGCCTGCTTGCAAGACAGGCGCTTATGCTGCTGAGCTAAATCCCCAGCCCTCACTTCTCAATCTCATCACTGCTAGGCCAAGTATCCTTCATAAGGACTGATGCTGACCAAATAATTTCTCACAAAACGTTTCCAGGATCTACCACAGTCTCACCTTGGAGGTTCTGGTCCATGAAGAAGAAAGACTGCTAGAGCTCAAAGCCTTAATGGACCCCTGTTGATTTTTTTTCCTCCAGGCATAAAGGTAGAAATGAAAATGGAAGGAAAGGGGATCATATTCATATTATTCTGTTTCCAGAATCTTCCTTTCTGTGTTTTCCTTATAAGTAAACATTTTAAAGAATTGATTGCAATAGTAATAATATTATGTTTAAGTAAAATTAGTGAAGTTATTCATTCAAGCGTGTTGTATCCCTCCTGATTTATTTCTCTAGACCAGGCTTCTCCTTCAAGTTCGAGATCCACACAGTCAACTGCATGTTGTTATTTATCCCCATCTGATTGCCGCATAGGCATTTCAAACCAGATGGAGTTGTCTGTTTTCACCTCCACGCTTGTTTCTTTTTAGGATTGTTCTCACTTCCACCACAGACAATGGCCAAATTATCAGCCCAATTTTTCAAGTAAAACTTCTGAAAATTCCTGATTCCTTCATTTATTTCATTTTCCTTCCATATTCAATCCGTCAGCAAAAATTATGTTTCATTCTCAAAGCCCAGCCTAAGTCTATCCCGTGACTTTTCTCTACTCAGGACAACATAATCGCTTTCCCAGGCCACTATTTTTCCGTTGGGTCCCAGCCCTAATCCTCCAGCTTTCCGTTTTTCACACAGAAGCCTGCAGGGCCCTTCAGAAATGTCCATCACATCATGATCTTCCCATGCTTAAAATTCTTAATAATTTCTCTCACTTCCATGTGAAAGATACTCAAAATCACTAATCACAAGGGGAAATGTAGATTCAGCCTCTGGGAGATACTGTCATACCTATTAGTGTGGCTGTTATCAAACAAATAGGAGATAACACGAAGCAACAAGATTGCAGAGAAGGTTTCTTGTGCATTGCTAATGAAAGTATGGCTTGATATAACCATCATGGAAAATGGTGTGGATGTTTCTTAAGAAAGTAAAATAGAATTACCATATGACCTAGAAATTCCTTTTCTAAGTGTGTACCCAAATGACCTTGAAAAGATTGCACTCCATTTTCACTGAAGCACTATTCATAATAACTAAAATTTGGAAACAATTCTAGAGTCCTATCCATCATCAGGAAAATTAATAAAAACTGTCAAATATATACATATGCTCTCTGTCTCTATATATATAATCAACCTTAATAAAGGTCTTGTCATTTCCTACAACATGGGTGAGTTGGAGGACAACGTACTAAGTGAAATAAGCCAGACATAGAAAAACTACTGAATTATCTCACCTATATGTGGAATCTTTAAAAAAATATTAAGCACACAGAGATAGAAAGTAAAATGGTTTTTATCAGGGATCGAGGGGTAGGGAAGAAAATAGAAAGATTTGGATCAAAGAATGCTAAGTTACATGTATGTAGAATGAATATATTTAGAGGTCTAATATACACATGAGTACCATAGTTAATAAATTATACTGCATTATTTTGTACTGTATTGCATTAGAGATTTTCGCTACCAAAGAAAAATAGTTTTCAGATGCTTTTGCCCCAGATACATACAACGAATGATTATGAAATGGTTAAATATGTTCACTTGCCTGATTAAGCAACCACTTAGATAGAAGCACAGATATATAGATAGATAGATACCAAAACATACTTCACACTCTAAATCTGTACAGTAATAAGAGAGAGAGAGAGAGAGAGAGACAGAGACAGAGAGACAGAGAGACAGAGAGACAGAGAGACAGAGAGACAGAGAGACAGAGACAAACAGAGAAACTCATAAAACTGTCTCAGGGTCCAGGAATATGTGATGAAGTTCACGCCTGCCATGCCCTTCATGCTCTTCTCCACTCACTGATGTTTTTCCTGATCATATTGGCTTCCTTCCTAGCTGAAGGGTTGTGCATTTGCTTATTTTGCCACTTGCACCCTTTCCCCTGACTCTTTTCACTGTGGGCTCCCTCTTGTCCTTTAAATCTTATTTTCAGTCTCAAAGAAAATCATCCTGAGGATCCTGCTCCTAGTTTAACTGGCTACTTCCTCTACTCAGATACTCTTTTTCATTCCCTTCATTCATGTCCTTTGGCATTCTCATAGATTCCTTAACATTTTATCATTCATGTTTCTCTGTAGAATGCAACAATGCTGTGCAACCAAAGCAAAGCAAAACTTTATCAAATGTTTTTAGTGAATTGATCAATGCCCCATTCCTTTGTCTCATTTGCTGAAACATCTGAGGAATTTCATTTTTCAAAGTTACCTTTAGAGACAATTATGTATCCATATAAGAAAAAATGATATTTTTTATCCTAGTCTGTGTTCTAATCCTGTAACAATATCTGAGAGTGTGTAATTTATATGTAAATAAAGGTTTATGTATTCATTTCATGGTTCAGGAGATCCAAGGCGGGGCAGACATAACTGAGAGGGACTTTTGTCAAAGAGGGCATTCTGGAATGCTGGGATGGAATAGGGTACCCCATGTGAGATGGAGACAGGTTGCATTTCTTCTTCTTATAAAGCCACTAACCCCTTTTGTTCTGTCTCCGTAGGTTTATCATGTTGTATCTTATTGGATTTTATTATATGTGATAGTATAAACAAAATTTTTTATAGACAAGGAGATAATATAGAAACCATTGTTCATTTTCTGTTAGTTGGTTCTAAATACCCTGTAATACTTTCATTCCCTTGAATGGTTTTACACTGTCATGTTGTGTTTGATGCTACAAGATATGAAATTATACTCAAATATTTCAGGAAAGAGACACTATGGTAGCTACTGTTATGACAGGTTATCTTGTGGTGAAACACTATGTTGCTTAAATTGTTCTGTTCTGACCTGTGTTATTATGTTGTTATGTCTTCTTTTATCTTAATCTCCTTCTTTCTTTTAATTTTTTAATAAAAAAAATAAAGCCACTAACCCACCTTGGATAGCTTACTCTCAAAATATCTGATCCTAACTACATGCCCCACCTCCAAAAGCATTAATATATGTCTTTGGGGATTATGCTTCTCACAGACAAGAGGACTTTATTAGTTTAAATATTATTTCTTTATTCTGTTTTTAATCTTTTCTCAACTCTGCTTCATATTGATCCCTCTTTTGCCTTTTTACCAAAAGCTACAGAAGATTGCTGAACCAAGAAACTCCCTGAGGCAGAGATAAAGTCACAGGAGAAGGCTTTTGGCTGTCTTCCCCTCTGTGGGGACTCCTCTGACATTTCTGTCCAACCTCAGTTGAACCGTTTCTGTTCTACTGGGCCTTGGTGTACCGCACCCTGGCATGTCATAGCACCTGTCACCTTGCCTTAATTGGACCTGTTTCCTTGTTTTTTATTGCTTTTCTTCTAGAGTTAAAGTCTGCTTGAAGCGAGGGACAGTGTATTATTTAATTTTGTGGTCAGCACATAACAAATTTTAAACAATTGCTGAATGAGTGATGTGTATGTATTGATCAGGAAGCAAACTCACATTTATGCATTGTAATGCATAGTGTATGAATTGTGAGTGTTTTGTATTTGTGAATGTATGAGAGCAGCCGATCAAACTGCATGTCACCTTCTGGAGGTTCAGTTGTTTCTAGGGTGAATTCCTCTGTATATCTGCACACAGCTACACCGAGTTGCGCAGTTCTCACCTGTGCTGTGGCAGCAGCCCATAGTGTGCGTGGTTGAATCTTGAGTTCATTGTCTTCTCAAGGTAGTTATTAATTATGGTTGTGGTTAATACTTTCTGGAGAAAGGAATTAAACCGAGTGAAAAATGAACTATCCACGGGGTAACCATTATCCCAAACACGGTGTAAGATCCAGGCTCCTCGTCTAGTGCTGAGGAATACCTGATGGAGACAGAGCAAAACAGGGAGACGAGGAGGTTTTAGATGATATTATTTTACACATACTTTGCCTGCTACACATTTTTAAGAGTGTTGGCTACTGAGGATCAGAGGTAAAATACTCGTAAGTGTCACAGGCCGTATTTTGCGGTCTACTGATCTCCAGAAAAAGGCTGCTTCTCTGACACCGAATTCATGAATGGAAACCTGAATATTCCACTCATTCTTCTGTATGTTTCTGAAGTAATGGTTTAAGAATATTCATGGAGATCCACAGTAGCCGAGACTCTCAGGAGAAAGGCTCTAGGATGCTGGGGATACCTGCTAGAGATATTTTCTAGGTTCTTCTTGTCCTCAACAAAGAATTGAACAAGCAAGCACAAAAGGTAGCCAGATTTTACATTTACTAAAGGCAAGAAAAGAAACATGCTTTTTTGAGTGAGTATAGTCCAATTAAAAGGAAGAAAAGAAGTATACTCTTCAGAGTGAGACCAGACAACTGTGAAAGAGAACACAGTGTACAATAGCTCAATGGCAGACAAAGTTGTGTTTTTTAATTAATATTGTTATGTACTGCTATATTCAATTACTATGTCTGATGATATAGACAATTCTATTAAAGATAACAAGAGACAATACAGTAACCATGGTAGAACTCCTTGTACAGCAGTTTTATATGTCTTTTTCGTTTCATGTGTTTATAGAAATATGTTTTGTTTTATCCTGCTTTGTTTTGCTTCTCCCTCTAATATAGAAAGGATAGAAATACATGTTAAGACTCATGCATGTTTAGAACCCATGAGCAGGTTATGAGAACTGATCTTATAACTCATGATGAGATGAACAAATACTTTGAAGAACAAGAGACACTAAGGTACCCGGTGCTGATCGCATAGTGTCATGATGTGAAATCCAGCAATATTATTATTCTTTGTTCAGAGTGCTATGGTTTAGCCTGCTATGGTTTGTTTAATCTCAACATAAATGAAGATATGGATAACTGCATGTATGTTTAAGTGTATAAGACTGATAACCATATTACTAGGTTTTTGTTAGATAGTTGAACAGAACCATTTGTAGTCTCACTGTTTGAATCCCCACTTTGTATGTTTCACTTTTGTGTCTTGAACAACTATTTGTAAGAGCACAATATGTAATCATCAACTAGTGATTTCTTACTTTTTATTTTTTCTTTGAAATTATGTATTATTTCTACCTGTTTTATTTAGTCTTTCTTTAAATAAAATTTTTTTAAAAATTTAAAGAAAAGAATATTCATGGATATTGACACGACTTTGTGGCTATCTGAAGTCTATGACTTTGAAGTCTATTTCAGGACATAGGTGCTATTGTGATAGAGAAAAAGTCACATTATCTAATATGTGGCATCATCTATGCTAACAGTTTTATTAGTACATATTTTCAGAATATAATAATTATATTCATTATGGGGAGTTGGTACCTGTACCTAACACGTCTTATATTTTTCCATTCCCCTACATCTCCTGGTCCCTTTTCCATTTACAAAATCTGTTTTTCTATTTTATATTATCTATCTTTAATTTTTGCTCTTTCATTTATTTACACATTGGGTTTATCAAATAAGAGAAACCATGTGATATTTAAGCTTGTATGTCTGATTTATTTCACTTAACATTATGCTCCCAAATTGCATCCATTTTCCTACAAATGAAATTTAACCTTTTTTATAGCAGCCTCCATTATGTGTAAAAATCATATTTTTTTTACCATTCATCTGTTGATAGATATTCAGGCTGCTTCCATGATTCAGTCATTATAAACTGTGTGTTATAAATACAGGCATGCAGATGTCACTATTATATGAAGTCTTTAACTCTTCTGCGAAGATAGCTGAGAGGGAAATAGTTGGGTCTCATAGAATTTCTATTTTTAGTTTTCTGAGGAATTTCATGCTAGCATTTTACTCATTTAGCTCAATTAATGGAAATTTGTTTATCATCGTAAATATGAGGAACCAACTTTGTGTTTACTGTCTTCTCTGTTTTAATTTTAGCCCCTGAGGCCACAAGTTCTCATAGATTTCTCAGTCTTTTTTGCCTTTTTACAATCAAATTCACATTCTGTATGGCACGTAAGATGCAAACGTTTGTATTAGTGAAGTTGTTGAAAGTAAACAAACCTGTTTTGCTACCCGACTGAGCTCCACAGCGATATCCACTCCAGAATTCCCAATGCCAACCACTATGATTCTTTTTCCTACAAAGTCCTCAGGACTTTTGTATTCCCGACTGTGGAAATAACGTCCTTCAAACTTCTCAATGCCTGTGATGCAAGAAGAGAATTTCTCATTATGAGGAGACATTTTAACAGAGGAAAGTTGTGTTTTGAATAATCTGACCAGCAAGATGTGGAATCTCGGTCACCCAATATTACACTTTGTCCTCAAAATGTTATTTTATATTTTACAGATCTTGGGAGAAAGATAAGTAAACTCAGAGTTGGTGCCTGTATTCTAAATATAGACTATTTACCGCATAAATGATTTATTAGATAGTAGATCTACCTGTCTTGAATCTATCCAAAGTGAAAATTTTATAACAATGACTAATTTTTTCCATTATTACATTATACTGTAAATTCTTATGAAAATAATGAAGCTGGAAAGCACTCATTGCATTGTTTCACTGTCCTCCAAATAGACAGAGCTCTTTCTTATTTTGACATCCCCTCTGCCTTCCAAATGCCTGATGCTCCCAATCTGTGTCTGGCATTTGCAGACACTGTTCCAGTTTGAATGTGTTTATGTCACTTTTCTTGCAAATTTATCCAGATACACACATCGTTATGTCTCTGTAGACAGGCTCTCTCAGCCAAGAAGCAAGTGAAGAAGAAGCTGATAAATGTGAAACAGTTTATTATGTAATTTATAGATTACATTTTAACTGTAAATGATTTCAGAATATACTGCATTTTAACATTCAGAAGTTCAAGGACTTCCATTTACATATGTTTGCATTGGTGTGCAGACTCAGAAAGGTTAGGTGTCAGTCATCCATAATTCAATTAGTCAGTTGGACAATCAAAATCCAGGTTTAAATCCCTTGATTTCTATCTGGTGCTATTCTAATTACTGTTTAGTCCTCAATACCTGAAGAGTTTCTCATGGTAGCCTGATAGGTAGGCATCACGGAAGGGCACTGAGATTTCAAATGGTTTCTGATTTGACAGGATTGATGAAAGTAGAGGGCAGTGGAGCAGAGGTACGGGGAAAGGCTTTAGTTGGGTCTGTGGGTCTGTGTCCTCCTCAGAGATGGACACTATTTTGTCTCATAGAATTCAAAGGGAGTAATTATCTGCTAACTTTGTTTTATTAACCAATGAAAATTCATGACAAATAAGCATTAGTAAGATCTTTTCCCATACTCTAAGATTTCTAAGTTTATAGGTTTGCCAGCTCCTTTGTTTGCTTTGCTTATCACTTGTCCTTTATTTTATTAATTTTACTTTCTTTGGAAGGGAGTGAGATCAGACAAGTGTGCATAAAATTTAAACCATCTGAATGTGGGCTAATTTTTGTTATTTATTAGAAGCTGTAGGATGATGGTAGAAATTTTTGCAAGTGGCTGTTTCTATACTGCCATGGATTATATTGTCCTGGTAACATAAATGTTGAGTGTTACTGAGATTTGTTGAGTGTTCCTGAGATTTCAAAAACTTTATGCTCAATCATTTTACCCTGTAAGTTACTAGAGAAACAATTTTTCTCCCCAACAGACTTTTGGTGACACACCTGGGAAGGACTGAAGCGGTAAGAAGGGATCTGTGTGGTGCCCACTGCAGACCAAGACTCCATCAAAGATGAAGGCCTCCTGCTTCTCATCAGTCTCCACAACCACATCCCACTGTCCACTGATGGAGAAATCTGGACGCTTCCTCACGCTTTGCACTTTTGTCTGAGAGCCAGGGCACAAACACAAGTGACTCATTCTTGAAGTCCTTGGTTTAATCTTTACTCCCCCAGACCCCATAAATCCGAATAGTACAAATCATTTGATTGTTTCATACGAGTGTAGATCCAGTTCCACCCTATAGTGATGTTTCTTTGGGGCCATTATCAAGGTATCAAAGACATCTCATTGAGAATTTAATTTCCATACAAATGGAAAAAGTTGAGACATAATTATGAAATAACAAAGGAGTGACTAAAGCCATAGCAATAATAGTCTCCATCCAGGGAGACTTGTATATGGAAAAAAAAAAATAGTATTTCTTAGGTTTCTCGTATCTGAGCACAGGTCTGTCCATTTTCCCCAAGGTTGGTTTTTGAGTTTCAGAGAGCGATGAATGTCCTATTGTGAATATAGAAATGGACCTTGCATCTATGAGTTGTGGGTGGTAGAGGCAGATAGACTACGGATATCAAGTGATCCAAAAATGTCTTCTTTCAGTTGCTTATAGAAGCTTGATTGTTCTACAATCAGTATGACTTGATTCAATTACTACTGTCATTTTCTTAAGTTCTTAAACATTTTGACTATAAGGTCTTGAGAGAGGACTCTTTCCATGCCACATTGAAATATTGTCAATTTAGGTTCTGATGAGCAAAGTTCCCCAAACTTGTACTCAAGTGAAACCTTCAAAGTATTATTTCATTATAAATCCTGAGTTTCTAGATGAAATCTTACTAATGACTTTTTTCTTCTGATTATAGTACATACACACACACACACACACACACACACACACACACACACTGCAATATTTAATTTCTATTGTACCTTAAAGTGAATGTATTTCAGGAGGTCAAAGTGTTTGGCATACATCCTGAGGTAGTCCATAAGTCTGGAGTTGTGCATGTAGTTGGGAAAATGATCTGGAACAGGAAAATCACTGAAGCACATCATCTCCTTAGAAGTATTGATGGTCACAGATTTGTAGATACTAGGCATTTTCTCTGAGGAATTTTTCTGCAGGAGAAAAACTCTCTTAATACGAGAAAACTTATAATTCTAAAAAAAGTCAAAATAAAATTTTTATAGGAGAATTTAAGCTCAGGTATAATAAAACAGTACATTGGATTTTATTTTCTCCATTTGTTAAAGAAAACAGAGTCAATAATAAGACACATCTGCTTTCTCAGTAAGAAGGAGGGAAATCAGTAATGAATGATGTCTTAAAAATGGTAACATAACAATGTTTACTTGGACATCTATACTCAGTAAAGATATGCTTCAAAAGTGGAAGTGAAAGAAGCATATTTTCAGAAAAACAAAAGCTGAGATAATTTGTTGCCAGCAACCCAACATTATGCAAAATGCAAAAGGAAGCATTTCAGGCTGATGGGGAATGACTCAAGAAGGAAGCATGCAAATGCAAGAAGAAACAAAAAACAGATTACTGTAAAAATACTGACCATTTAAATAAAATTAATAATAATAATATCTTGTGGGTTTATAACATAGGAAATCAGTCACATAACACAAACATAGTAATGGAAAAATGGAGTTAAATTTTTGTGAGATTTCTGCTTTTTTCAGAAAGTGGTAAAAGTACAAACATAAAGTAAAAAGTAGTAAGTCATGAATGCTTTGAAATTTTAAGGATGACCATTAATAATAGTTGAAGGACACAATCCATTTATTTAATGCACAAGAAAAAAAGAAAAAAATATATATGCTAGCGAAACTAAAAGAAAATGAGAGGAAGAAAACCACAGAGTCCTGAGTGCACCAATGAGGACCCTGCCGGCCAGGGAGAAACAGGAAGGTGGCCACGCACCCCCTCCTCACCAGACAGTTGGCATGCACAATTGGGAGAGAAGTGCTACCCAGCCCATAAGCAACTGGCTGATTCAGAGGAACACAGGCTGAGGTGATAACAACTGAAGTAAAGAAACAACCTAACCCTTGTATTGTTTGCTTGGCTCTGCAGGCCTAAAATCAGTAGCTTGAGCAACTATTTAGAGGAAAACAATAAGCAATATAGTAACTATTGTGGATGTGCTACTGTCTTATCACTGTTTCGTTTTGTTTCATTTGTATTCTGTTTTATTCCCTTTAAAATAAAAAAGAAAATGAGTATAATAAAGGTTTGAAACAAAAATATAAAACATCATCCATTAAAGCTTCATATATTTATGTATCATGTATAAATACTCCAGTTAATATAATGAATAAGCAAAAAACCAAAAATACTAAGCAAATATTATCTTTATGCTAGTTATAAGAAACAAAGTTAGAATAAAAGATACCTATAACATGAAAACACCAACCCAAGGGCCACTGAAGTTACTCTATTAATAACAAACAAGCATCATGGCAGAATTAGAGCTAATGAAGGAGAAATCATAATGATATAAAGATCAAGTCTACAGTAATATATAAAAATCTTAAATTGAAAGATAGCTAGTAACATAGTTTCAAAATATTTAAGTAAAAAGGATCAGAATTACAAGGATAAACTGACCAACTCATTCACAATGGAAGAACTTAACTCTTTAATGGAAGAATGTAACTGATAGGACCACAGAACAAGAGTTGGTAAGGACATAGAATATTAAAGAACTCAAACAATTGAGTTTAATTGACATGTATAGATAAATAAATCCTGCAATTTTAGATTGTGCATTGCTTGAGATATATTTCCAGTATAGGCATTACTGTGTCCCATTAAAAAGTCTAAGAAATTCTAAAGGACTAAAACAGAGTATTTTTTCCAATCATAGTAGAATTAAATTGCAAATTAATAAGACATACATACTCCTAAACTCTTCAATTTTTTAGAAATTAGTCAACATAAGTAAAAAAATCTTTGTATTAAGAATTATATTATGGGAACAAAACAGTTAGAAGAGGCAGATGCATAGTGTAAGAGCGTAGTTCAGGAAGGAAGAAAAAATTTCAAGCCCACTTGTCCGGCACCGCGTCTGTCCCACAGAATGAGGCACACGAACACTTTGTCTCTGCAGGCTCCTTTATTGACTGGGCTACAACCTCAATACACGTCCGTCCTTGACGGCTTCCTACGTGTTGTGCGTCGGGCACTTCCTATACTTGGGCTTATATAGCTAATGTTATCCAATCATGGGATTACACGTGGGGACAGGCGATTGGGTGGCAACAAGGAAGCAATCAATCATTACCATATATGGCGGGGACAGTAAGCCGAGCAAGAACCAGGAAGCAGGATGTGTGCGCCATCTTGGGCACACGATGGGCGGGGGAGCAGCGAGGTGGTAGGCGGACGCCATCTTGTGGCTATATTCTCATGGGTAATACGGCAGGCTCCCAATACCCATTAAGTCCCAAATCAACAATAGCATAAATAGGTGAACAGCATAAATGCAAAATAATGTAGAACAGAAAATAATCAATACAAACAGAAATAATGACATACAAATAAAAATACACAATGGGAAAGAAGATACTCCAACTTTGATTTTTAGAAAATTAATAAAGTTGATAAACTTTTAGCAAAATTGACAAGAAGAAGGAGGAGGAAGATAAGAATGAGGAAGAAGAAGAGAAAGAGAAGAATAAGAAAGAGGAGACATAAATCATCAGTATCAGGAATAAAAATGGAGCACCACTATAGATTATCTACAATAAAAAGACTATGATAATGTTATGAATAGTACTCACAAACTATCAATTTGGATAAAGACAAATTCCTTGAAAACAATACACAACCATTTTAACAGAAGAAAGAATTTTGAAAGCCTAAAATCTATGCAAGTTAAAATTTAAAAATTTATGTCTGTTGAATTTGTCATTAAAAACTTTACAAAGAAAACTTTGGGTTCAGACAACCTCACAGATGAATTCTTCTGAAGATTTAAAGAAAGAAGAATGTAATCTCACATTAATTCTTTAAGAAAATGGAAAATCAAGAAGTATTTTTTAATTCATTTCATAACATTAAGTTAGAAAACTGACATAAATATTATATTAAGGAAAAACTTGTGCTACAATGTGTGCGATAAACATATTCCATAATATCAGCAAATTGTACCTATTAGCAATATAGAAATATCTGCAAAAATATGGGTCAAATGTAGCAGAAAATAAAAATATTTTAAAGTGACCACATATGAATTTCTCTAGGAACAAAACTTGGCTTTATCATTTTAATAATACTGAAATACACTGAATTAACAGAATAAACAGAAAAAGCATCTGACAAGATTAGGTAATGTAGAAAATCACTTGTTAAAATAACCTACGTTCATGCGTTAAAAGAAGTTCTACACAAATTATACATTGATGATAACTTTTCTTAATCTATAAAAAACATTGAAAAATTATGTTTATTGGTAAAATATCAATCTGTTTCTCTCCAAGACTGGGAAGGAGAACTAATATTCTTCTATACTTTTAATAGAAGAAAAAAGAATTACTTTCTATCACTACTTTTATTCAGCATTATTTAGAAGCTCTGGCTAATGCAGTAAAGAAGAAAAATAAGCAAGATACATAAATATTGGAAAGAAAGGAGAGTTATTAAGAATTTACCATTATGTACATAGTAAATCAAAGTGAATTTACATATAAAGCATTAGTGAAATTAACAAGATGTCTGGGCACAAGGATAATATTAAAAATAACTGTTTCATACACTAGCAACAAATTAAAAATGAAACCCTTGTGATTGCCACCAGTTATAGCAGCATAAAATCATCAAATATCTGGAAACACTTAACGAAAGACATATAGAACTTTGACACTAAAAATTATGTGACGAAGTGAGAGTTCCACAGTTTTGCATAATATGAGACTACTCAGTATTAAGATTTTAATCTTTCTAAAGTTTATCCACAGGTCAGTGCAATAGTAAATTATGCTCTACTGGATTTTTTGATGGAAATTGACAAGATAATTTTAAAATTTATAGGGAAATGCAATTTTCCTTGAAAGGTCAAGACAATGCTTAAGAAAAATGAAAATATCAATTTTGTTACAAAGATGAAGCGATTAAGAGAGTAATGGAAAAACAGACCAATGGAAAAGAATTAAGAAGTAAGCACAAATAAATAGTTACCTGATTCCCAAAAGAGAAAAAAATAATCAAAAGGCACTGTTGCAATTTAAGGGAATGGATGAACCTTTCAGTAATGGTACTGTATCATTTGGTTATCCGTATAAGAAACAAAGGAACTGATTCTCTGTATCTCACTGTACACAAAAGGAAATTCAAATTGGATCAGAGACATAAACATTAACAGTACATAAGTAAAGGTTTTGGAAGAAAATATGAGAATATGTACAGCACTCTTCTGTGAATATGTTTCTTAAATATCCAACAAAAAATAAGAATCATAAAAATCTTTATAACCTGGATTCCTTTAAAATTAGCCTCTCCGGCTTCACTTGGAGAACTGCTGAGCTGCCGACGGATGGGCGGGCCCACACTATCAGCCTAGCCCAGCCTGTTTAGCTGCCGCACCTGGCCATAGGCCTGCAGAGGAGGAGCTGGGCAGATCTGGGGTGCCCTCACCGGCCTCTCTGCATGTCTGGAGGACTCTGGATATCTCCGCCCAGACTGCTGGAGTTCCCCCAGGCTTCCAGGTGCAGTGAAGGGGAGAGGTGGGTTTGAGGCTTCCACATCAGCCTCCCCATTCTGGCTTCACTTGGAGAATTGCTGAGCTACCGACGGGTGGGCTGGCACACACTATCACACTAGCCCAGCCTGTTTAGCTGCCGCGCCTGGCCATTGGTCTGCAGAGGAGGAACTGGGCAGATTTGGGGTGCCTTAATCGGCCTCTCCATGTGTCTGGAGGACTGTGGATATCTCTGCAACCAGGGAGGGTCCACAGGTTCCTGAAGCACTGCAGCCTGTGGTGAGTACCCTAACCCGGCTGAGATTGAAGAACTGTGGAGCTTCCAAGGGGTAGGTGGGCGCACAGTGTCCCTGAGGCCCAGCTTGTCTGGAACTGTGGAGTTCTGAGCAAGCAGAGGAGGACCACTGGTTC